TTGCAATTTGCCTTTTCAAAGTACCAACTTTTAATCTCCTAATTCTCTCTGTTGCTTGTCTCTTCTCCATTTCATGATCTCTGCCATAGTCTTTTTTTCTTGTTTCTTCTACTAGCTTTGAGCTTAGTCTGCTCTTCTTTTCTTTGCCAAGTAAGTAGGTTATTGATTTATTTTCTCTTTTTTGATATAGACATTGGTAGCAATTCATTTCCACCTGAGCCAGTGCCTTTGCAGCAGCACCCCATTCATTCTTCTGTGCTTTCATTTTTTTGTTAGTGTCTAAAATTTTTTAAATTTCATTTTGTATTTCTTTTTTGACCCCTTGGTTGTTTAATAGTGTGTTGTTTAGTGTCCATGTATTTGTGAATTTTCCAGTCTGTCTTCTGTTACTGATTTCTGATTTCATCCTGTTGTGGTTGGGGAAGATACTGTATGATTTCAAGCTCTTAAAATTTATTGAAACTTGTGACTTGGCATATGGTCTGTTCTGGAGAATGACCCATGTGTGTTGAAGAAGGATATGTCTGAAATTTCTCTAAACATAGGGGAAAAACAAGTAAAACAAAACAAAAAACACAAAAATCCACCTCTTCAATTTTGGCTGATTATATCTGAGCCAGGACATTCCTTCAACACTTATCCCGTCTTGTTCTGAGCCTAGGATTCAGTCTATAATGAAAACAAAAAATATCTTAGATATTTGCTGATTATGCATCTTGCTGGGCATGGATATGACTTTCCAAATTTCATATCTACATAGGTATTTTTGAATTCTCCAAATTTCCAAAGAAATTCACATTTGACTTCTTCTCCCAGTCCTTAAGACATCTATTGTATGTTTCAGTCACATTCATTAACCCAGGCGGCTACAAGTGGTTTCAATTTGGAGGCAGTACATTTCATTCCTCTGGTAGCGTAGTGGTTATGAATTGGCCTGCTAATCCCAGGGTCAGCAGTTTGAAACTACCAGCTGTTCTGCTGGAGAAAAATGAGGCTTTCTGCTCCCGTAAAGATTTACAGCCTCTGAAACCTTGTACAGGGTCACTATGAGTCGGAACCAACTCCATGACACATAACCACCACCACTACCACCACATTCCATTGCCATAGTGACCCTATAGAATAGAGTATCAGTTTTCCAAGGCCGAACAACAACAATCAGCTTCTTTTTGGCTTAGCAGCTGAGCATTTAACTATTGTGCCATTAGGGCTCCTTAGTGCAGGTATACTTGTGATGAATTTGCACAGCTTTTTTTTAATATTTGAAAAGGTTTTTATTTAGTCTTTGTTTTTTCCATATTTTTATTGTAAAAAAGATTGCTGTTATTATTTAGTGCTGTTGATTCGATTCTGACTCATAGCGACCCTGTATAGGGTTTCCAAGGAGCCTCTGGTGGGTTTGAACCACCAACGTTGTGGTTAGCAGCTCAGTGCTGATCCTACAGCACCATTCCAGGACTCCAAAATGAGATTTGGTGTTGACTGTTTTCCTTCAGTACTTTTTAAAGATATTTCCCCACTCTCTCTGGCTTATATTGTTTCTGACGAGAAAGTTGCATTGCTTGTGTTGTTTTTCCTCTCTATGACATATGTCATTTTTATCTCTTGCATCTTGTAGGATTTTCCCTTTATCAGTGGTATTAAGCAATTTGTTTAAAATGTATTTGGTGTGGTTTTGTTTTTGTACCTGGGTATGTTGTGATTTGGAGGTCTGTGGTATTTCATTTTCATCAAATTTTGAAACTTTTCAGACAGTTTCAGACAAACTTCAAATATTTTTTCTGTTTTTTCCTACATCTCCTCTTCTGGGATTTATAGTATACATGTTGAAGATGTCCCACAACTGCATTTGATACCCTGTTCATTTTATTCACCAGTTTTCTCTCTGTGTTTAATTTTGTATAGCTTCTAATGCTTTGTCTTCATGTTAACCTTTTCTTCTTCAATGTTGAGTCTGCCTTAAATGCAACTTAATCTAAATTTTAACCCAGACATTGTAATTTTCATCTCCAGATGTTTAATTTGGTTTCCTCTTTTAACAAATCTCTTTCATTAGGTAAACACTGTTACACAGTAATTCAAATTTAGAGGAATGGACAGGCATGCAGGCTTAATAGATGTGGAAAGGAAAGTGAGAGTGTACCCACGAATATATATAGGTTTGACTGAGGATATTTGTTACAAATCTATCCAGGAATGGTGGTACCTACAGGAGACGAAGTTATGAGAACTTCCTTAGACTTAACAAAACACCTTGAGGGAATGAGTCACTGTTCTTGGAGGCTCAAGTCCATCATCTCAGGGAACATCAAAATTAACTAGTATACCAATATCCACGAAAATAACATTCTATATCCTACCTTGGTGAGTAGTGACTGAGATCTTCAAATCTCATGAGCGGCTATCTAAGATGCAACTATTGGTTTCTCCCTGTCCAGAGGAAAGAAGAAGGATGGAAATCAAAGTCGCACGGAAACAGTTAGTCCAGTGGACTTAATGGCCCGCATGAACATTAGTCTCCATGACTCTGAGATCAGAAGAAGTAGTGGTACCTGGCTACCACCACCAACTCCTCTTAAAGGGATCACATAGAAACTCCTAACTAGAGTTGGGGAAAACTCAAAATCATTAAAAAAGAAAAGGCCAGACTTACTAGTCAGATAGAGAATGGTGGAATTTCAAGACTATGGCCTCTATTCACCCGTCAGGTCTCGAAATGAACTCACTCCCCCCACCCCCCCACTCAATTTTCAGCGAAACAATAACAATAACACTAGTGAGATATGCATACCTTAGAATCATCAACCATGTGAAATCAAAAGGGCAGTATTTACCCAAAGACAAGTTTCAGAAGAGTTTGGGGGAAGGAGGAGTGGAAACAAGAAACAGGGAAGAAGTGGGATAAGTGATTTTACATTGTGGAATTGCAACCAATGACATGAAACAAATTGTATATGAGTTTTTTTCATGGAAAACTGATCTCCTCTGTAAACCTTCGCCCGATTCACAAAAAGTAAAACAAATACACTTTTCATTTTTCTACTTAGCATCTTAAACAAATTAAACACAGTAGTACTATTGTTTCACTTTCTGTATCTATTATGTCATTCATATAATTTTTGGATTTTTTTTTTTTTATTCATTTACTTTTTATTTTAGTTTGGGTGGAAGTTAACCTAAGAGATTAAAAACTATACATTTTGTCTTGTGATTTTGGTTGCAGTCACCTCTAAATAACAGTACTCTTTTGTTACCTCCCTGCATTTCCATTCATCCTTCTTTCCTGCCTCATCTTGTCTTCTGAGCTTTGTTTTTGGACACATACTGTCCCCCTCCCACTTTTAAAATCTTATGTAGTTTATTGTACATTCCTCCCTGGTATTATTGTTCACTATATAAGCAATCATGTCTATTGTTTGCCTGAAATTTAGATGCTTTTTAATTGGCTTGTATATTTTTTCTCATTATGTGTTGTATATTGATGTGTTTTTTTTTTTTTTTTTTGAATGTCTGGCAATATTTGATTTTATATTAGACACTATAGATTTTACTCTATTGGATGCTAGATATTTTTGTATTCCTAAAAGTGCCCATGAGCTTTGTCCTCTCATATGATTGTACTTGAACATAGTTTGAGCTTTTCAGGGCTTGTTTTTAAGCTTGCCTTTAGGTAGGATCAGGACAAGGTGTATTCTAAGCTGTGATGCTATAGGATAAGCACTGGATTGCTAACAACAAGGTAGGCGGTTCAACCTACCAGCCGCTCCTCGGAAACCCAACACTATCACTATGAGTCAGAACTGACTTGACGGCCCTTGACAACAACCATTTTCTCCAATGAAGTCCTGGTGGTGCAACAGTTAAGTGCTTGGTTGCTAACTGAAAGACTGGCAGTTTGAATTCACCCAGTAATTTTGAAAGATCTGGTCATCTGCTTCCATAAAGATTACAGCCAAGGAAACCCTGTGAGGCAGATCTACTTTATCACATGAGACTCCAGTGAGTCAGAGTCAGTTTGATAACACCCACCAACAACAGTTTTCTCCAACTGCTGAGGCAAAATCCTTCCTAATACTCCAACCTGTGCCTCATGATTAATGAGACTTTCCATTTCTAGCTTCTGGGAAAGCAACTGTTTCCTGTATTGCTCCAAATATAATCCTTTTGGTTAAGGAGTGCTGGTAACTCAGTGGTTAAACGCTCAGCTGCTAAAGCTTGGAAACCCTATCGACAGTTCTACTTTGTCCTAGGATTGTTATGAGCATGAATTGGCTTAACATCAATGGTTTGGGCTGTTTTAGAATCCTTTTGGAAGGTTTTCATCCTGGCCTTGTGTAATCTCTTTATATTCTTACGCAGCTCAGTGCTCATCTGTACTCTCTAGGACAACTCTGTTGCATCTCCATTACTCTTTCCTGTGCAGTGCTCATCTGTTTGGTACCTTGTTCTGCAAACTCTTGGTCTACTTGGATTTCCAGCTTCATCATCTCAACTCAGAGAGAACATTGGGTCTCGCCTGTGTTTCCTTTCTGCCATGTAATGGCCTGGAATCTCGCTTTAGGAAGTAGATCGGGATTTATCACATTTCTTTCCTATCAATATGAGTTCTCTGTTCTTTCTTCCCTAATAATTCAGTGTCTTAAACATTATTGTTTCACATATTTTTTCCATTTTTTAAAAAGTTGTTTCAATAAATCTAGTTCCTGTTGCTCCATCTTGTACCAAAGCAGATGTCTCTCTACCTATATGATCTTCATTTTTAAATTACTGAAGAGGTGGTTAGAAAGGTTAAATAAATTGCTAAGGACACAGAGCAACTAGACTTGACTATAAATCTACCATACTTCCATGATAATTTTCTTAATTGTGATGCTATAAAGTATTCATATATAATATGAATTGATGCATTTATACTGAAAATATTTAGTCTGAGCTATTATTACATTAAGAAACACTGGTAACATTTTTATGCAAATTGCTTTTCCCCCTCCCTTTTAAAGATAAATGCCAGGAAAATGAAGAAAAAATAGTTACAATTTTATCTGCAAATGAAATTTTTGCCTATCCGTGTTTTATTATGTGGACTGAAAACAAAGACACTACAATTTGGTATAAAAATGACAAGAAGACACTCATATCTATGGAAAGAGATTCCAGGATTCATCAGTTCAATGATAAACTTTGGTTTGCTCCTACTAAGGTAGAGGACTCAGGATATTATTATTGTGTGGTAAGGTAAGAAAGTATTGTTTATTGTGAGTTAAGTCAAACATTATTGCTACTTAATCAGTATTGTTTCTCATGGTGGTGGTGCTTTGTGCCGTGGAGTCAGTTCCGACTCACAGAGACCCTATATAAGGTTTCCAAGGCTGTAAATCTTTACGGGAACAGAAAGCCTCATTTTTCTCCCATGGAACAGCTGGTAGTCTCAAACTGCTGACCATGAGGTTAGCAGCCTGACTTGTAACCACTACACTTCAATTCATACATGGATGGGTTTATTCCAAATAAAACGTACTTAAATATGTCTTTGTGAAAATTCGTTGACTGCAGACCAGTTCTGTCAGTAATACATTTGTCTTAGTCTCCTGAGGGGACCTTCAAAGAAGAAGGTCAGAGCAAAACAGTGGCTTCAAAGGAGATCTTCTGGGCCAGTTCAATTCAAGGCAGAGTGGTCAGCTAGAAGGTTATGATGATTGCTTTGGGGAATTCCCAAGGGCTAATCTTGATAGATTTTCTCAAAGGGTATGAGATGAGCATGGAAGATTCTTTTGAAGAGAGTTTAAGAAAATTGAAAACTGCATTGTTGAGAAAAAGGTCAGGAAAATTGCACCGAGGAATTTTTTTCCCCATCACAACAATGTACCTACTCATTCTTTGACAGTTCAAGGGCTGCCCTAGAAGAATTTCCTTGGAAACTTTACTATACCCATCCTATAGCCTTGATCTTGCCCCTTCAGACTTGATTTTGTTTTCAAAACTGAAAGAACATTGAAAAGGAACACAAATTGATTTCTTCAAGAATGCTAAAGTGGCTTTTTGCCATGGTGTTGATTGGAGTGCACAGAATTCTTAGGATAAAGTTTGTTGTTAAATGCCATCTAGTTGGTTCTGACTCATAGCAACCCTGTATAGGGTTTCCAAGGAGCAGCTGGTGGGTTTGAACTGCTGACCTTGTAGTTTGCAGTCCAGTCCTAATCCTGCAGTGCCACAGCAGGAATCCTCAGAATTGGAAGTAGCACCTTCAGAAGTATTGTTGTTGTTAAGTACCGTGGAGTCAGTTCCGACTCATAGTGACCCTGCACAGGGTTTCTGAGGCTGTAAATCCTTACGGAGCAGAATGCCTCATCTTTCTCCTGTGGAACCGCTGGTAGTTTCGAACTGCCGACCTTGAGGTTAGCAGCCTAATTCGTAACCACTACGCTACCAGAGCTCCTTCAGAAGTATATGTAGACCTAAATAGAGGATCTGTCAAGGAACAACTGCTTCACAGTTTGATACTATTTTGTTTAATAAACAAAATATGTATGATTTGCTACAATACTTCTTGACATATCCTCATGTTTTACAAAACTGTGTGGGATAGCTTTTAATAGTGCTATTGTCATGCCTTTTATTTTATTTTAGAAATTCAACTTACTGCCTCAGAAATAAAGTAACTGTGAAATTTGTGGAGAACGAACCTAACTTATGCTACAGCATGGAAGCTCAGTTTCCACAGAGATTACCTATTGGAGAGAGTGGACTACTTGTGTGCCCTAAATTGGATTTGTTTAAAGATGAAAACAATGCATTCTACAATATACAGTGGTATAAGGTATTTCTAAGTATGGTATTTTACTTTTCTAGCAAATGAAGTCATTTTCTGTCATGGACAGTATCGTGAATTTGCAGCATGATTTTCAATTTATTTTATTTTGCTATTTGAATAGTGGATCTTACTGGGAAATTTTACAAGAATTCTAAGACTTTATATATTTAGTTGGAAACTTTATTAAAACTCCCTCTTGCCTTCATTTAGTAAGATGCCATTGAGAAAAGTAGTAGTAGAAATAAAAGCATTTGCTGGAAGGTTGCTAGAAATATACTGTTTATATGTGGTTGTGGTTGTCTAACTGCCGAATCATAGTGACCCTGTATAGGGTTCCTAAGGAACGGTTGGTGTGTTTGAACTGCCAACCTTGTGATTCAAACTGACCTTGCAGTCCAGTGCATTAATTGCAGCGCCACACCAGGACTCCGTATGAGGGGTACATTTAGTCCTGTTGTGGCTGTGTGATAAGCACTGGACTGCAGAGTCAGTTTGAACTACAAGGCTGGGGCTTCAAATCCTCAGAAATGCTACTCAGGGTGGCTGTGGGTCAGAATCGACTCTACAGCACTTAGAAACAACAAGAAGGCATTTTGGAGACCTAGTGTGGTGTTGCAAGATAAGTACTGGACTGCTAACTGCAAGGTTGGCCATTCAAACCCACCAACCACTCCTTGGAAACCCTATACAAGGTCACTATGACTCAGAACCAACTTGATAGATAGCACAGGATACTTATGAACAATATGTTATTTTGGGTTTTGTTAATGATATCAAGTGGTCATTGAATAACCTAGTGGTTTCTGTAATTGCCTCAAAAGTGGATTGGCTTGCATATTGTGGAACACATAACGTTTGTTATCTTTCACCTGCTAGACCATTGAAGCATAAATGGGGAATCAAATTAAATAAAGTTAAGATATGCAAAATAAATAAGCGCAACAAAGAAGGGAAGTACATAATTGTTAAGAAAAGGTCCTCAAACATGGATTTCTTGCAAAATAATTTTGTGTTCATGTGTCTTCGTAGCACAGATGTATAGGCATAAATATTTGATATCCTGGGAATATAATTGTCACCAAAAAAAGAGAAAGAAATGCAGTGATTAAGTATTTTTTTTAATATATATATGTTAAGTATTTGTTATACAGAAATGTTTCAGTGTATTTTATATAGCATTTACTAATGAGAAGAAATGGAATTCCTTTTACCAGTCGACTGGGAAAAGTTACTAATTGTTTTTCAATGCTTCTTCCTCTCTTCATCTAGGATTGTAAACCTTTACTTCTTGACAATATAAAATATGCTGCAGAAGGAACTAAACTCATCATAAAAAATGTGACTGAAGAAGATACAGGGAAATATTCTTGTCACACAACCTATGTATACTTGGGAAAGCAATATCATATTTCCCGTGTCATAGATTTCCTTCCTCTAGGTGAGTCGTAGCTCCCACCTGAGGAGCTCAGATCTGGAAAGGCCCAGATGCCATAGCTTTCATATTGGCTTTATTGTCTATGGTGGAACTAAATCCAAAATAAGTTCAGCCACTAGCCAGTAAGTCACGTGGCAAGCTTAGTTTAGTTGTTTGTTTTTCAAATTGCTGAATACTAGAAGTTTTTTTCCATTCTTGCTTTAAATGCATTTAACAGATGATAAGCGATATTTTCAGCTGAATTAGGATGCTTGTTGTGCTTTGACGGGGCTAAAAATGATTGTTTCAGAGAGCTTATTGGGTTCCTGCTGGCTGATGTATGGGAACGGTTCTGTGAACTTTTGCTTGAGGAACCTGAGTGTTTAGCAGCAGAGGATTGGCAAGATGGGGCAGACACTGATGGACTTTGGAGTAAGTTGTAGTTCCAGAATCTTCCTCATGTTACTTCTGTGATTTGGGCAAGTTATTGACTCTCTTTACTCCCATTTCTACATTTGTAAGAAGACGATAGGAATTCACAAGATGGTTAGGAAGGTTGTTGCTAGGTGATGTCAAGTGAATTCTAACTTCTTGTGTGGACAAAGTAGAAGTGTCCCATGTCCTAATCTGTTCCCATGGTTATGGGACCAGATAGCCACATCTCTTCTTTGATAAAACCCCTGCCTGGTGGGTTTAAAACACTTACCCTTTGATTAGTAGTTGACCACTTAACTATTTCAGGTTCAGATATTCTAAGCTTATGGTTACTTGTCAAGAGAAAAAAAACAACAATAACAGCAACAACAAACATTGTTGTCAATTAGATTGCGACTCATAGTAACACTGTGGCAGAGTAGAATTGCTCCACAGGGTTTTCTTGACTGTAACCTTTACAGAAGCAGATTGCCAGGCCTTTCTTCCCTGCCCCCACTGGTTGTGTTAGAACAGTTAATCTTTAAGATAATAGTACAGTGCAAACAGTTTTTCTACCAGGAACCTTGCAAAGCTTAGTACATGCATATATGATGATTGTTATTGTTAATTTTTCTAAGGCATTCAGTTATCTCCAAACCACTAACTATTTTCATAGTAAAGGTTATTTTGAAACTAACCAGAGAACAACAAAATGACATGGGTAGAATGCTGAATTTTTGTACAAATACCAGAACTTTACACATTTTCAGTGTATTCTAACCAGGACATTTTTTGTTTTTAAATTAAAGGAGTCACGATTAATAATTGGGAGAAAGATGAGGCTTTCTACCCCTGTAAAGATTTACAGCCTTGGAAACCTTGTGCAGGGTCACTATGAGTCGGAACCGACTCCATGGTACTTAACAACAGCCTTGGAAACCTTGTGCAAGGGTCACTATGAGTCGGAACCGACTCCATGGTACTTAACAACAACAACATAAACTGAGACTGTTCCAAGCAAACTGGTACTATGATTATATATATATAGCTACATTTTTCCAATTCTATAATAACTTTCTTTCAGAGACTGATTTTATTAAATAAAAATTAATATTCTGCCTCGGTCCTAAAGGCATCAGTGACTCCTAATTGTTAATGTTCTTTATATTACAATCATTTACTTGAGTTTTTAGTAGCCGCTCTGGTCATTATAAGCTCTGGCTTGTGTTTCTTGAGACAGTGAGTATAGCAGCAGACAGAAGTCTACGGGGATCTGGACTTTGGAAAAGTATTCCAAGAAGTGAAGTAAAAGCTTTGTCTCCTTTTCTGATTCCATGTGTAGAAACAATATATTTTTATCATTTGTAGAAACAATATACTTCCATCATTATAGAAACAATATCTGTTAATCATATGTAGAAGCAATGTATTCTAATATTTTGTTTTCTTCTCAAGGCCCATCATCAATGATACTTTGTGCTTTTTGTTCCATTATCAATGATGCTTAGTGCCTATTGTTTATTACCAGAGCCAAAAATATTTATCAAGCATTTACTATGTGCTGGATTCTGTTTTAGATAAATATGTGTGTGGTGCTGTGGGTTAATGCACCAGACTGCAAAGCCCTTTGCACTGCAGAGTCAGCAGTTCAAGCTCACCAGCTGCGTCTTGGAAACCCTATACAGGGTCACTGTGGGTTGGAACTGTTTCGATGGCACTTAACTACAAGAGCAATGGAACTTAGTTTCTCTTCTCCTCCTTTGCCTTCTCCCCTTTTCTGTCTCCTCCCCTTCCTTCTCCTCCTTTTCCTTTTTATTTATTTGACTGAGGTGTGATATAGGGCTTTTTTGGCCACTGACCAACCATTGAATTCAGTTTTCTTGTAAAAAGAAAAGTCAGATTAATTTTGAGGACTCACTGATACTTTCATGCCTGTTTGAATACATTGGAGTTCCCTTATGTCAGATTGCTTTTCATTATAGTTTCTTAGTGCTGATGTAACAGCTATACTGTAAGTTGTTATTGTTAAGTGCTGTCAAGTCGGTTCCGACTCATAGTGACCTGACACTGGGTTTCTAAGTAGTGGCTGGTGAGTTGGAAACCCCAACCTTGAGGTCCGAACTGACCTTGTAGTCCAATGCTTTATCCCACAGTGCTACACCAGCACTCCTTACTGTAAGTGGTGGCTTTAGAAAACATAAATTTATTTTTCCATAGTTAAAGAAGCTAGGAGTTTGAATTCCAGGAACTAGTTCTAGGGGAAGACTCTGTCAATCCTAGGGGGAAATGGTCTTTGTTTCCGTTTCTGTAACCTTGGCAGTTCACACATGTGCTTTGGTCTGGCCAATTTGTGCGGGCTTGTCTCTGTGCTCAATCAGCTATTTTTATATTTTAGGAGGGATTAGGTTTAAGACACACGAAAACACTGACATAGCCTCATAGAACACCCAGTTTCCAAGTGTGTAAGGATTCTAACACTTCAGTACCTTGTGTGACTTTTGCTTTGGGCTCTCTTCTGAAATTATTAAATACAGGTCCAGCACTGGCTGGCCCGTGTCGTTAACAAGACTCTTTCCAGGGTAGTGTCTACTGGATCATCCTGATTTGCCTTAAAGGGTGAGAATGGGGGGGGGGGGGGGGCGCGGCAGGGGAGTACTTGTCTACAGTGCTCTACTTTGAGCTAGGGAGTCACAGTTTGCTCTTGCCTCTCTGTGTTGATATCTTTCTTTTTGCCTCTTATCTCCTGCCCCCTGTCACAAATGCTTTGCACACCAGAGGGAATATCTAGAGGATGCCATTTAGTATATCTAGCTGAATGTTGTCACTGTTTGTGTGATTTTTATTTGTGACTCAGAAGTACCTGTAAATGTTTTTTCTTTCAGTGGAAAATGTTCCCCGTTGGCCTTTTATTATGACTCCAAATAATGACACAATGGAAGTTGAATTGGGTAAGTGGTCTCCTGTCAGGATGTGTTGAAGTAATTATTTTGAACTCACAATAAACATAAATTACACCTTTAAAACACATGTAAAACAAAATTAAAAAGCTCCCAAACAGGTAGCTGTGGGGTGGGCTGTGACTCAGTGTCACCAGTGAGCTGGGAATCATAGTTGTGCTTTCATGGTGCTTCTGGGTGTACTTTAAGAGTCCAGCTTTTCTATTAGCAGCTGAACACTAGTAACAGTTGACACTACCAGGAAGTCCTTGTGACACACAGCCTAAGCTATTTCCTGGTGTGGCGCTGTGGGTTAATGCGCTGGACTACAAAGTTGGTTTGAACTGCAAGGTTGGTGGTTCAAGTTCACCAGTTGCTCCTTGGAAACCCTAGAGAGGGTCACTGTGGGCTGGAACTAACTCTGCGGCACTTAACAACTACTACAACAACAAGCAATTTTCTGGTCTGGCGCTGTAGAATAAGCACCGAACTGCAAGGTTGGTTTGAACCCACCAGCTGCTCCTGAGTAGGAACCAACTCGATGGCACTTAACAACAACAACAAAGCTGTTTCTTAAATCAGTTAATTAGAAGGAAAGTGAGACAACTGATGTCTTAGAACGTTTCTTTGAAATTTCTTTTACATCTCATGGAAGAAGTTAAGCGATGTCTGATTTGTTCTCTCTACTTTGCTGTGAACAGTTACTAACTATAAAAATACCAGTCAAATAAGAAAATTCCAACAGGCCTAGAAATGAGAATGTGATTTATCAGGTAGGATGGGATGGATTTCTTATTACCAGAGTTAAGTTTTTAGGTAGAACAGTAAATTGACAGCCCAAAAAGGTGATAGTCATTGTAAAAAAAAAAAAAAAATGCTGTCCAGATGAGTGAAAAAATTTTAATTTCAAGAAAAAAAGAAAGAATCCAACACGTGTTCAGACCTACAATGCCCAGTACAGTAGCCAACTGGCCACATGTGTCCATTTCAATTTGTTTATTTCATTAAAGACATGATCTCCTCATTTCAATTTGTTTATTTCATTAAAGACATGATCTCCTCAGTCACACTTGCCATATTTCAAGGGTTCAGTAGTCACATGTGACCAGTAACTACTGTTTACTACTACACAGGTATAGAACATTTTCATCAAGGCAGAAAATTTTACTGGGCAACACTGATCCAGACATAAAACAGATTCTTGTGGCAGAAGATAAAAAATCAGGCTTGCTCTGGTTTTTTCGGCTGTAACAGTACCTGCGTGATGACAATGTACAATTGTACAAGAGATTTGAAGGTACAATCCTTAATCTAAGAATTCTGTACTTGACTGAGTTGTTATTTATGGTGGAAAGTAATTTTTAGGTATTATCAGAAATTTCAAAATTCAACATTAAATTTGTTGTTGTTGTTGTTGTTGTTAAGTGCCATCGAGTCGGATCCGACCCATAGCGACCCTGTACAGGGTTTCCGAGGGTGTAAATCTTTACGGGAGTAGAAAGCCTCATCTTTCTCCCGCGGAGCGGCTGGTAGTTTCGAACCGCTGACCTTAAGGTTCGCAGCCCGATTCGTAACCACTACGCTACCATTAAATTTAGGCAAAAAAACAAAAAAATAGAGTAGTTGTCATTGTTAGTGCTGTCATTGGGTTCTGACTCTCTGACTAATGGTGACCCCTGTATAGTGTTTCCAGGAGTGACTGGTAGGTTTGAACTGCCGACCTTGCCATTAGCAGTCCAGTGCTTATCCTACAGCACTACACCAGGACTGCAGAATCTAGAGTAGTGTTTCTCAATCTCACCGCCATTTTTTCTTTCTTGCTCCTCTTCAGAAGCTTTTTAGACACTTTTTTCCTAATCCTCTGTCTCCCAGGATTTTGTATACCACACATATTCTATATATATCTGTTGATGAATCTTGGGTCTTTGGAGAGTCACAACTATACAGTAGTATATACTGTTACATACTATATATGTAGTATATACTGTTTATATATATATATAACATTTTTTTGGTGTCCCCCCCAAGGACCACTTTTTGCAACCATGGCCTTAGCTCCATTGAGAATATATGCTTTTAAGGTGTATAATCGAAAGCACTAAAGCCTAGATTGCATTGACCTCCAAATCTAAAAGTAGCTTTTGTAGCAGGAATCAATTACTTTAATGAATCACTCTGGCACTAGATCAGAGGCACACACCACCCTGTCATATGATTATCCTGAAGGGTGCCAGATGGACATTTGATAAAATTCAATGACAATTACTAATAAAATACCATAGAAATATAGGAGTTGAGGGATATTTCCTTAATATAATGAATACCATCAGACTGAAGCCAATACTTTACTAATATTCTTGGTGGTGAAACATAATAGAGACCTCTTTGAAGTCGAGGGCGAGACAAAGATGCCCACATAACTGGTATTCCTTATGCTCTAGATGTGCGCACTGATGTAGTAAAAAAGAGCCAGGGTATGTGTCTTAGTTTCTTAGTGCTTCTGCACAGAAATACCACAACTGTGTTGCTCTAGCTTATTTTCTTACAGTTTAGAAGTCAGAATTTAAGGTACCAGCTCCAGGGGAAGTCTTGCTCTCAGACAATTCAGGGGAAGATTCTTATCTCTTTTAGTTTCTATTCTTTTCATTCCTTGTTGTTAAGTACCGTGGAGTCGGTTCTGACTCATAGTGATCCCTTACAGGGTTTCCGAGGCTGTAAAGCTTTATGGGAGCAGAAAGCCTCATCTTTCTCCCACGGAATGACTGGTAGTTTCGAACTGCTGACCTTGAGGTTAGCAGCCCGATTCGTAACCACTACGCTACCAGAGCTCCTTTTTCATTCTTTAGTGATCTTCATATAGCAACCATGTTCCCCAGTTTGTCATTGTTTATCTCAGCATTTCCATATCTAATCTGCTCTTTTTCTATCTCAAAAGGCTTTAGGTTTAAGACATGGCCTTCTTAATATAACAAAAGAAAACTCAATTTTCAAATGGGATTCCAACAGTAGGTATTTTTGTTGTTGTTGTTAAGTGCTGTTGAGTCAATTCCAACTCATAGCGACCCTGTATAGGGTTTCCAAGGAGCATGGTGAGCATGAACCACCGACCTTGCAATTCAAACTGCCTTTGCAGTCTAGCATATTAACCCACAGCACCACACGAGGATTCCATCCATAGGTGTGTTGTTGTTAAGTGCTGTCGAGTTGGTTCAACTCATAGCGACCCTGTATATAGGAGTTTCTTGAGGTGTGGCTGGTGAGCTTGAACCACTGACCCTGTGGTTCAAATCGACCTTGCAGTCCAGCACATTAACCTTCCGTACCACACCAGAACTCCATCCTTAGGGATAGAGGTCAGAATTCACATATTTTGGAAGGACTACACTCTGTAAAAGCATGCTTAAAGGGGGAAAAGCTTGCTATTTGATGATCATATAATTACTTACCAAGAAATGATTGGAGAAAATGAGAATTCATATAATTGGTAACATAATATTTCACAATACTTGGCTGGAAAACAAAGAAAAAGTGATCCTAGTTTAATAGCAAATGGCTTAGAAATGTCTTTAAAATATAAATGTGGGACTTATAAGGAAGTAAAAACAGAACCAAAAACTTTTTTTTTTTTTTTTTCTGAGAGATTTAAAGCATGCATTCTCAAGGGGGCAGTATTTTTTACAAAGGGGAGAAAATTGGTTCTTGGAGAGCGGAAATATCTCCATCACTAGATAAACAGTGTATTTGTGGTATTAAAATTTCATGAGAAGGAGTACTATTAAGGGTGGGGTTAGGGGTGGGTCTAAAAATGCTATTTTCAAAGAGGACTATAATAGGAAAAACCTTCAGAAATACCAATTTGAGACAAAACTATAATAAAGATGTATATACTTTTTCTACATGAAAGATTGGGAATGATAAAGATATTGACACTCATGAGTAACTTATAGATTTAATGGAATGTCAATAAAAATATAAATGAACTTGACATCTACTCCTAATATTTACTTCAAAGAATAAAATGATGAAATACTAGGGTGATATTAGAAGAGCTCTAAATGATATTAATATTTATTTTAAAGACTTTAGTAAGTAAACGAGTATGATAACTTTGGCATCAGTGTATATATTCAGATCTACTGAGAAAGTGTGAAATAAATAAGAATTTATGGTAAAGGTGGCCTTACATATTCCAGAGAAGAATGAATGTTCACCAGTTGGTTCTCAATTGGCTGGTTATCTGTTTGGATAAAAACATTAAGTTAAAGTTATCCCTCATTGCCACTTCAATTAACTTATAGACAGATTTAAAAATTTTAAGCAATGAAAACATATATATCTAAAAATAAATGTGCATGGATATTTTTCTGACTTAGTGGTAGCGAGGGATATTAAAGAAACTAGTGAAGACAGAATAAAATTATAAACTTGACCCTCCCCTGCCTCCCCCCAAAAAACCACCAAGAAATTTCCCATCAAAGAATCTCCATAAACAAAAGCAAAATGAAATCAACAAAATCAAACTGTTTTATGTATTTGTTCATGTATGACAGAGTTAACATCTTGGTTGAGTGTGTGTCAGAATACATGTTGGTACTGGGTGGTGGCACACATCAGGAATACATGTTGGTACTGGGTGGTGGCACACATCAGGAAGGTTAAGATGAGAATGCAATGAAGTCCTGGTCAGCAGCCACGAGCCCACTAGTCAGAGGTGATTTGGACTCTTAGTGACCCTATAGGACAAAGCAGAACTGCTTCATTGGGTTTCCAAGACAGCGAATCTTTACAGAAGCAGACTGCCCCATCTTTCTCCTGTAGGTTCAAATCCGACTTCTCTGTTAGCAGCCCAGTGCTTAACCCATTGTGCTACCAGCGCTCTGTGTATGGAGGAAGGCACAACAGAAACACACATGAATGTTAAGCAGTGTCAAACGTGATTTCACCATGAATCTAAGAAATGCAGGTGAAAATTTAAATGGAACTTTTTTTCATCTATCATTTGGCATTTGTCAAAAATACTGCAGGGTCTGGGGGAAATGGAAATAGTACTAAAATACACTGTAAAAAGAATGTGGGCTGGCATAGCCCTTCTTGGGATAGGAATTTGGTTTTTAAAATAAATATCTCCTTTCACTCTAAAATTCTACTTCCAGATTTCATTTAAAGTCATCCCTCAGAATATACATAGACAATGATTTACAAGAACGTTCATTGGAATGTTCATCATAATAATGCAAAATTAACCATATGACTTAGAAATTCCAGATGTATATCTAAAAGACTAAAAAGCTGGGATGCAAACAGATACTTGGACACCAATGTCCACTGCAGCATTTTTCACTATAACAAAGAGGTAGGAACAACCTAAGTGTCCATTAGCAGATGAAGAATGATTAAACAAAATGTAATGATTACAAGCAGTGAAATTTTTGTCACCCATAAAGAGAAATGAAGTTCCAATACATACTATGACATGGATGAACTTTGAAAACATTATGCAAAATGAAATAGACGCTAACGGAAAACCATTGCCTGAAATACATAGAATCAGCAAATGCGAAGAGGCAAACACTCATTAATGGTTACCAGAGAATGAGGGAAGGGGGCCAGAAGGAGTTACTGCTTCAGGGGTACTGAGCTTTTGTTTAGGCTGATGAGAACATTTTGGAAATAGTAGATAATGACATTTGAAAATAGTTGATGGTTGATACAACATGATAAATATAATTAATGTTACTGATTTGTATACTTAAAATTACTAAAATGGCAAATACTTTGTTATGTATATTTCGCCAAAATAAAAAATTTTAAATTGATTTGCAGGATCCCAGATACAACTGATCTGCAATATCAGTGGCCAGAGTTTTGGCTACTGGAAGTGGAATGAGTCCTTCATTGATGACGATGATCCAGTGTTGGCTGAAGAGTAGTAAGTATGCCTAGAGCCAATTATGCCATAGTAACATTTTGATATAAAGTTCCATTTCATACTATATAACCTTGGTGATTTAATCTAATAAAATTTGATTGGCCCTAACTTTTGCTAGGACTCCTGGTGTGGCTCTGTAGGATCAACACTGGACTGCGAACCACAAGGTCAGCAGTTCAAACCCACCAGCTGTTTCTTGGTAACCCTATGTAGGGTCGCTATGAGTTGGAACCGACTTGATAGCACTTCACAACAACAAAGTTTCTAAACAAAGCAGGATTTATAAAATTGTATACATTTAAAGTAAATCTACATGCCATTGTGCAAATTCCAGACCACTTGAAAGATTTTCTCTTCAGCTGATTTATATACATGGGTAAGTCTAATAATACTGCTCGTAGGGTTCATAGATGCATGGGTTTGTTCCAAAAAAAAAAAAGTTTAAACACGTCACTCCAGTCAGTGGGTAGCAGATAAGCTTTCTCAACAAAACAATTGTCTTAGTCTCTTTAGGGTGATTTAAAAAAAAAAAAAGAAAATGTCCAATATAAACATTGGCTTCTAAGGAGATCTGCTGGGCCAGTTAAATTCAAAGTAGAGAGGTCAGCTGGAAGGTTATGGTGACTATTTGGGAAGATCCCAGAGGGATAATCTTAATAGATTTTCTCAAAGAGCACAGGATGGTCACAGGAACTTATTATGAAGAAATTTAAAGATAATTGAGAGAATTGTGAGAATTTGATGAGAAAAAAACTGGAGAAAGTTGCACTGACTTTCTTTTCATCATGACCTGCTCATTCTTTGAGGTTAACAAGAGCTGTCCTATGAGAACTCCATTGAAAAACTTTACCCCATCCACCCTACAACTCTGATCTTGCCCCTTCAGATTTAATTTTGTTCCCAAAGCTCAAAGAACATTCCAAAGGACCACAATGTGAGTCCCTGGAGGATGCCCAAACTACTGTTTTGACATAAATGCCATTTGGTATAAATCATCTCTTTGGGGATGGACTTACTATTGTTGTTAAGTTTCAGAGGAGCAGCTGGTGAGTTTGAACCACTGACCTTGAGGTTCAAACCGACCTTTCAGTCTGGTGCATTATTCTGCAGTGCCATACCAGGACTCCTGGGAAGGACTAGAGAGATGGAATTATCACCTTCAAAAGTGTGCAGACCTAGATGAAAGATAATGTTGAGGAAATCATAGTTTCACATTTTGATTTTTTTGTTTAATACAGATACCTATAATTTTGTAGCAATACTTTTTTATTTTTAAAGTTTTTACTTTGAATTGAATGATAGTTTACATGGGAGAACATTGACTTTACACTCATCCTATTGTATTTCATTTCATTGCAATGGTTACAATTCCCTCCATGCATCATCATTCAACAATATTTGCTTCTATTCCCTCTGTTTTTGTTTTTTTTTTTCACTGTACATGGAAACACTCAGGAATATATAATCATTTAAACAACCAAAGGGCACATTCTGCAAACCTACTTCCTGGCCTCCAGCACCCAGCCTTTCTCTTTCCATGATTCTAGAGACCTCAGCTGCTCTTATCTCTCCATATCCTCATCTCTGCCTCTATCTCTGGTGTCACTACTTCCTGGATAGGGTCCCACTTTCTGCTCATGTTCTTCTCCTCTGATGGTGCTAGGGTCCTATGTTCCTGGACTATAAGCATAACCACTCCCACCTTTATGTTATAAAACTTCTACCTTTACAACTGTGACAATCATAATTAGTCATGATAACAATTATTCACTATTGAATCATAAGAATTTTATCCCCATCTCCTTTCACCAGACCCATCTAGACAAGATGAAAACTATTCAGAGGAGATTCTACCTTCCCCTGCACATTCTGAAACTCCCACTTGAAAACTTTTATGCCAGTCACTTTGTGTCTTTAGTAGTAATACTTTTTGACATACCCTTACATATTTAAACAATCCAATGAAGCCATGATCCTCATTTACTCTTCATCTTTTTCTTTTTCTAAGTATTTTGGTGGTGGTGGTGGTGGTGGTGGTGATGTGCCGTGGAGTCAATTCCGACTCATAGTGACCCTGTACAGGGTTTAGCAAAGACTTATTAAATGGAGTCCAGAACTAAGCACTTCATTGCTTACAAGCCTGTAGTGACTGGAACCTACAGATAGGATAAAATCTGGGTTCCTGCAGAGCCTTTTGAAATCTACCTCAAACTACTCTTGTTTAATATGCTTTTCTTTGAAACTAGAATGCATATGTCTCTCTCTCTCTCTTTTTCCCCCCCTGAAAGCTTATAATTTTAGTTTGATTTCTCTGATACTAAGTGTGTTACAGACAATGGTTTTAGGGCCCAACAGTCTGATTTTTATACTTGTGTATAAGACTACTGGTTATTTCTGCCACAATTTATAGTACAAATAAAAAGATAAACCAGGTCTATGTTATTATTTGTCCATTGATACAATTCACTCACCTTTATTTATTTTCTCACTTTTGGGCAGTGTGGATGGTCCAGTCAAAGCGAAGCAAACAATTATAATGCTTAATATTTCAAAAGTGGAAAGTAGATTTTATCTACATCCATTTGCCTGCACAGCCATTACTGAGATTGGCAAAAATCAAGCATATGTCCAATTAATACCTCCAGGTAAACAAAAACCATCTGTTTGAAATGTGGTGTTTTACTGTGACCTTGAAGTCTGCAATGCTTTTCTCTGCCTAGAACACTTCTACTACCCTTTACTTCTCAGCTAAACAAGTTCTCCTTCTAGGAACCTTTTCGATCATGCTGTCTACCCTTAACTCAGCTCACTCCCAAATATAAGAAGTTAGGGGCTTTGCAGTGTACTTCCAGAGCACCATATTCCCCCATTACAACATTGATCATACTTAGTTCTCTTTACTGGATTGTAAATTCTGTGATGGTACAAACTGTTTATCTTACTCATCATAGTATTTCTAGATCTAGTAGCAACCTAGGTCTGGTCCATTGTTGGTACCTTAAAAATAGTTTTAGGTAAATGACTACATGGATGTTTGGAAGAATGCATAGTGGAAGCCTAAACATCTTGTTTCCAAATGGAATATCAGAAGTTACTGGTTCTCATTATATTAGTATGACCTAACACTGAATTTGAAAGTATTTGTGGAATATTTTAAGATCATTTATAGTTGAATTAAAAATAGGATGCTTATTAATGTGTACATGGAAGAAAATCTTAAAGAATCTACAGACATACTAGAATAGCAAATGAATGTAGCCAGATCACTAGAATATATATGTATGTCTAAATACCAGCAACAAACAAATTATAATTACATTTAAAAGACAGTGTTTACAATAGCATTAAAAAACAGCAAATGCTTAAGAATAAATCTAGCAAAAGCCATTCCAGAGCTCTGTATCACAAACAGAAATAGCCTTATTGGCATGGCGTGGCACGGCAGGAGAATGTGCTAGATCACAAAGTCAGTTTGAACTGCATGGCTGCTGGTTCAAACCCATCAGCTGTTGCTTGGAAACCCTATATAGAGTCACTATGGGTCAGAACTGACTCAACAATGACAACAGTAAAGGCCTAAATAGATGGCAGGATAAACAGTGCTTATAAATGGAAAGCACCAATATTGTAAACATGTAAATTCTCTCCAAATGGATCAGGAAATGCAAAACTATTTCAATCAAAATTTCAACAAGGGCATGTGTGTGTGTGTTGATGTTCCTATGTTGTTGGGAGTATATCTGTTCATTGTTGTTAAGTGCCATTGAGTCAGTTCTGACCCATAGCGACCTTTGTTGGGTTTCCAAGGAGTGACTAGTGAGCTTGAATTACCAACCTTGTGGTTCAAACCGACTTTTCAGTCCAGCGCATTCACCCACAGGAATATTTATTCAGTTGATTGTGAAGTTTATTGTAAAGGTCTTATGGAAATGTAAAGGACCAAGAATAGTCAAGCTCATGTTGAATAACAACCGGAAATCTGGAGGATTTATACTATCTGATATTGTGATTTTACCTAAAGGTATAGGAATTACATGTGAGTGCAGTGGCTCTAGAGGATAAACAGTAGACTTCATGTGAGCCCACTCCATGGGAGCAAGATGCGGCTTCCTACTTCTGTAAAGATTGGGGATTTGGGAAACCCTCGACAGGGTCGCTATGAGTTGGACCCGAGTTGATGCCAATGGGTTTAGTTTGGTGTAAATTCCCTTTGCGTCCTTACCTCTAGTGCAGCTTTCCCCTCCAGATGCTCCTCCTGCTATGAATTGTCATAGACTTTGGAGGGAATTTGACATTTATTCGTTTTGCTATAGAGTGCTTTATCGATAGTTTTGGTATTTTTCTAAGCTTGGTGAATTATACTATTTAGATGGAAACTGAAAAGAATTTAATTTTATGTACTATCAATGGTAGATTGCATTCTACATTGCTGTTGTTGTTGTTGTTATGTGCCATGGAGTCGGTTCTGACTCATAGCGACCCTGTACAGGGTTTCCAAAGCTATAAATCTTTACAGGAGCAGAAAGCCTCATCTTTCTCCCGCGGAACAGCTGGTAGTTTCGAATTGCTGACCCAGAGGTTCACAGCCTGATTCGTAACCACTACGCTACCAGAGCTCCATGCATTCTACATTAGTATCTCTTATTTAGTGGGAATAGTGAATGGGCTAATACTGTCTGAACATAGGCCAATTCCAAATACAGTTTTTCTGAGATGGAAATGTTTAATTTATTATGCTCAAACATTTGATTCTTTAGTGCCAACATATTTTTTCTTTTTTTCCTTATAGTTCGTGATTGTCAGAAGCACATCATTGGAATATTTGTCATATTTACAGTAGTGATTATATGTTCCATTTTCATCTATAGAATATTCAAAGTTGACATTGTTCTTTGGTACAGGGATTCTTGCTATGACTTCCTCCCAAAAAAAGGTATAACTTTGCTTTCTATGCAATATTTTTTTGTTGGAGATTGTTGTTTTTTTGTTAAGTGCTGTTGAGTTGGTTTTGACTCATAACCACTCATAGGGTTTCCGAGGAATGGCTGGTAGCCTGAAACGCTGATCTTGTGGTTCAAACTGACCTTTCGATCTTAAATTTAACAGTTAAGAGATGTGGAAGATGACCAAGAGAATTCTTACTAAAGTATTAAAAGGAAATGTGGCATATGCAAGGATAGTAGTTATTTGTATACATTGCTATAGTTTCATAATTAGTACAAAACTGCTCTATTTGAAGCTGTACAATTAATGATTCATGGAGTATTTTGTCCATAATAATCTGGTAACATTTTTAAAACCTTGGGAAAAAAACAACAAAAACTAACACCACAATGAAATACAAGGAGATAAGAATATTCTTAGTTCTGAATAAAATGCGTATCTTCTGTGGATGAATTTTGAGCTAGCCTATAAAAGAGAAAACTTGGTAACTTTTAAATAAGGGAAGAAAAAAGGCCATTAGGAAACATAAGGGCTGGGGAGGGCTTGGAAATAACCTTGTTGGGTTCTGGAGAGAATGATTAAGAAAAGGAAGAAAAGAAAGTTTGGGGTTTAGACATTTGAGTAAGGAGCTAAAAACACAGATGAGGATAGTTATAGACTGAGAGGTAAAGATATCCAATACAATGTATGAGTAACTCTCTAGTAGAAGACCATAAGCAGAAATCTTATAAGAGATGAGCATTAGTTTAACAAGGTATTCTATGAGAGTAAATCATAAAGTATTGCTACAAAATTATAGAAACTTTGTTAAACAAAAATATCAAATTGTGAAGCTATTGTTTTTATACATCTCCTCCATCTAGGTCTATATACTTCTAAATGCAGTGTTTCTATAACCTGTCCTTGAAGAATTCTGTTCTCTGCAGTTTATCCCTCGTCAACATGGTACTTTTGACGCTGCAGTATAGTAAATTATTTAATACGACTCTTCTAGCCATGGTCTTTGTAACTTCCATTAAACAACTGGCGTGGACCATGCAGGTTGGGTGTACTGCTTCTTTTCCTGATGGGTCTGGGTAAAAGAAGTTGGGTAAAGATGCTGACTAAATTATATGATT